ATTGCTCCACAAAAAGCGCCCATGGCTGGCGTGGCTGGAAGAACAAATGTGAAACCAGGGAGCTGCAGGCTTATACAAGTGCGATGCGAGCACCAAATAGGAGATGCAGTGTTGTGGTCTCACAATAATTTGATCGAGAGCGGAGTGTGTTCAATATCCGAAAAAGGAGTGGCTGAGGTTCCAGTCCTGAACAACTCCGAAGAGCCACTAATTTTCAAAGAAGGGGAAACCATAGGCGAATGGTCGCAACACGAGTGGATGGACCCACGGCTCGTAGATGCAAAATCTGACATGCTAGAAATGTCGAAGCATAGCACTACTGAGTCAAGGATGGCAACGCTTTTAACCCATCTGAGCACAAACAGAAGTACGGGGAATCTACCCCAACGATTGAAAGCATTAATCCAAGAGTTTGCAGATGTGTTCGCAGTAAATGATCAGGAGCTTACCCAAACAGATCTGGTGCAACACGATATTGATACTGGGGACACGAAGCCGATAAAGCAGAAAGTCCGACCAGTACCACGAGGTGTCCAGCCCGAGTTCAAAGCTATACTGAACGACTTGGAGGCTAGAGGCATCATCGCAAAGTCAGCATCAGATTGGGCCTCTCCTGTTGTCCTTGTGCAAAAGAAGGACAAAACGCTGAGACTTTGTATCGACTACCGCGTTCTCAATAAATATACACGGCAAGACTCCTATCCGTTGCCAACGATTGATACAGTACTACAAAGCCTGACCGGCAAAAAGTACTTTAGTACTCTCGATATGGCATCTGGGTATTGGCAAGTGAAGCTCAGCAAAGACGCACAAAGAAAAAGCGCCTTCACGACGCCAGAAGGACTCTTTGAGTTCAAAGTACTACCTTTCGGATTGTGCACATCACCAGCCGTATTCCAAAGACTAATGGATATGGTTTTACATGAGCTAAAAGGTGATGAAGTTTTCGTATACATCGACGATATATTAGTGGCAACCGAAAACGAGGAAAGGCATCTAGAAGTGCTTAGGAAAGTATTCCTCGCTTTCCGGAAAGCCAACCTGAAACTGAAATCCAAGAAATGTACCTTGCTAGAAAACAAAGTGGCATATTTAGGGCATGTCTTGGATGGAACAGGTGTGAAAACGGATCCTGATAAAGTCGAAAAGGTTAAAAATTACCCACGGCCCACTAATGTTGCGGAACTGCGCACGTTCCTAGGCATGTGTGGTTATTATCGAAAATTTGTCCTAAACTTTTCAAAGATTGCAAAGAGTCTCTTCGAGCTCACGAGCTCTCGTATGCTGTTCAATTGGCACACTGAGCACGACAAAGCGTTCGAAAATTTGAAAAATGCAATCATAAAAGCACCAGTGCTAGGACAACCGAACATAGAAGCGGCTCGATCGGGTGAAAGACCGTACATAATATATACCGACGCGAGTACTCACGGAGTGGGCGCTGTTCTTTGCCAGGAAGGTGACGACAAGATGGTCCACCCACTATATTTCGCATCAAAACGATTGTCCAAGGCGGAAGAGCGATATCACGTGACGGACCTCGAAGCGTTAGCCATAGTCTTCGCATTGAAGAAGTTCCATTTCTTCGTATTCGGGGCAAAGACCATAGTACGCACTGACCATCAACCGCTCACAACTCTATTCAAACGGTCCAATGTATCACCGAGAGTGTTACGGTGGGCGCTTGAAGTGCAGTCGTATCAACTCGAGATAGAATATGTAAAAGGCGAAGCTAATCGAGTTGCCGACGCCTTATCAAGAGGAATAGCCAAAAGCGTGACCGCGCAACAAGACAACGTTGAGCTTGTAAAGATTGTAAACTCTGTGGAAATTCAGAAAAGCTGGTTCGAGGAACTCCAGCAAGATCCTGACTATGGAGACGTGATAACAAAAGTCCAAGAAGGCAGAGATCTCGAGGAAGTGAGGTTACCAAGGCAAGAAAAACCTTTCCGCATAGCTGACTTTTGTGTTGACCAGAATCAGCTATACTTAGCCCTTGAAGATGGTTCAATGGCAAAAGTTGTGCCAAAATCACGAAGACGTGCTGTCTTCGAAGAAGCACACGCAGGTGTGCTGGCAGGGCACTTTAACGCCCGCAAAATCTTCCAGAGGCTCAGAAAAGAAGTATTCTGGGAAGGAATGCGTCAAGACATCACTTTGTGGTGCAAGCAGTGCCGTGACTGTTTCCTGACGAACAACAAGAAAGACTGTGTTCCCCCGCTAAAGCCACTGAAAGTGTCAAAACCGTTTGAAGTAATTGGAGTAGACGTGTTGGAGATAGGATTATCTTCGAGCGGAAACAAATATCTAGTGGTGGTAATAGACCATTTCTCGAAATGGTTAGCGGCATACCCAACCCCTAATAAAACAGCAGAGGAAATAGCTAGACTAATATTCAGCAGATGGATCTGCGAAGGGGGAAGGTGGCCCAAAAATATACTATCAGATCAAGGCAGAGAGTTTGAAAACAAGGTGATGGATGCACTTTGTCAAGTTGCAGGTATAACCCAAATATTCACCAAGGGATATAACCCGCGGGAAAACGGCGTTACAGAAAGGGCCAACCAAACACTGTTGAGAATGCTAAAGAAAAGAGGGATCGTAACAGAATGGGACAAGATAGTGCCCAACGTTCTTTATGCATATAATGTGAGCCCACATACTGCCACGGGAGAAAGTCCATTTTTTCTCCTGCATGGGTTTGACCCCGTTTACCCATCCAATGAAATACCTTCAAGCGAGGTCTCACCATACCGTATAGATATGGATGACTACCGAACCGAACTCATGACAGGAATGAAGTTGACGCAAGATCTCATAAGAGAAAATGCTGAGATTTACAGGAGTAAAATGAAGGAGTACTATGATAAAAGGCAAAAGGTCAACCCTGAGAAGCTCCCCAAAGTAGGACAGCGAGTGTTTTTGAAAATGCCCGCTGAAAAAGGCAAATCAAAGCAACCAAAACTGACCCATGATTGGGCGGGTCCCTATCGCGTCATAGACAGCAGCGATAATTCTGCATTGATTACGGAGATAGATGGGAACTCTGATCCAATAAGGGTACAACATGATTTGCTTCGTGAGATACCCGCTTACATCAATGATGAGCCTGTTAAAACAAGAGCAAAGAGAAAGACCAAGAGAGAGCGAAAAACAGTAGTAGTGCATAGTGTCACCACAAATGATAACTGTTCTTTCAGGAAGTACCCAAAACAACTCATAATGACGGATGACACTTCACACCCACTACATGTCCTGTTCTCATGTAACGAAAAGGCCCGCGCCAAACCGCCAGGCGATTTCAATGGCTACCGCCTCGAAGTGCCGTGTCCATTGATGACGGACGGAGCAACGCGTTTGGATCGCGTACTAAAAGGCCTACCGCCTAATATGCAAGGCATCAGATTTGAAAATGTGTATCGACTAGCTCAGCTGATGGGGACACGAAGCCGATAAAGCAAAAAGTCCGACCAGTACCACGAGGTGTCCAGCCCGAGTTCAAAGCTATACTGAATGACTTGGAGGCTAGAGGCATCATCGCAAAGTCAGCATCAGATTGGGCCTCTCCAGTTGTCCTTGTGCAAAAGAAGGACAAAACGCTGAGACTTTGTATCGACTACCGCGTTCTCAATAAATATACACGGCAAGACTCCTATCCGTTGCCAACGATTGATACAGTACTACAAAGCCTGACCGGCAAAAAGTACTTTAGCACTCTCGATATGGCATCCGGGTATTGGCAAGTGAAGCTCAGCAAAGACGCACAAAGAAAAAGCGCCTTCACGACGCCAGAAGGACTCTTTGAGTTCAAAGTACTACCTTTCGGATTGTGCACATCACCAGCCGTATTCCAAAGACTAATGGATATGGTTTTACATGAGCTAAAAGGTGATGAAGTTTTCGTATACATCGACGATATATTAGTGGCAACCGAAAACGAGGAAAGGCATCTAGAAGTGCTTAGGAAAGTATTCCTCGCTTTCCGGAAAGCCAACCTGAAACTGAAATCCAAGAAATGTACCTTGCTAGAAAACAAAGTGGCATATTTAGGGCATGTCTTGGATGGAACAGGTGTGAAAACGGATCCTGATAAAGTCGAAAAGGTTAAAAATTACCCACGGCCCACTAATGTTGCGGAACTGCGCACGTTCCTAGGCATGTGTGGTTATTATCGAAAATTTGTCCTAAACTTTTCAAAGATTGCAAAGAGTCTCTTCGAGCTCACGAGCTCTCGTATGCTGTTCAATTGGCACACTGAGCACGACAAAGCGTTCGAAAATTTGAAAAATGCAATCATAAAAGCACCAGTGCTAGGACAACCGAACATAGAAGCGGCTCGATCGGGTGAAAGACCGTACATAATATATACCGACGCGAGTACTCACGGAGTGGGCGCTGTTCTTTGCCAGGAAGGTGACGACAAGATGGTCCACCCACTATATTTCGCATCAAAACGATTGTCCAAGGCGGAAGAGCGATATCACGTGACGGACCTCGAAGCGTTAGCCATAGTCTTCGCATTGAAGAAGTTCCATTTCTTCGTATTCGGGGCAAAGACCATAGTACGCACTGACCATCAACCGCTCACAACCCTATTCAAACGGTCCAATGTATCACCGAGAGTGTTACGGTGGGCGCTTGAAGTGCAGTCGTATCAACTCGAGATAGAATATGTAAAAGGCGAAGCTAACCGAGTTGCCGACGCCTTATCAAGAGGAATAGCCAAAAGCGTGACCGCGCAACAAGACAACGTTGAGCTTGTAAAGATTGTAAACTCTGTGGAAATTCAGAAAAGCTGGTTCGAGGAACTCCAGCAAGATCCTGACTATGGAGACGTGATAACAAAAGTCCAAGAAGGCAGAGATCTCGAGGAAGTGAGGTTACCAAGGCAAGAAAAACCTTTCCGCATAGCTGACTTTTGTGTTGACCAGAATCAGCTATACTTAGCCCTTGAAGATGGTTCAATGGCAAAAGTTGTGCCAAAATCACGAAGACGTGCTGTCTTCGAAGAAGCACACGCAGGTGTGCTGGCAGGGCACTTTAACGCCCGCAAAATCTTCCAGAGGCTACACTATAAAAGAGCTATGTAATCTGTGCGACTGTGACGCAAGCGATCTTGTTCGAACAATACTGGACAATTGTAAAAAGACGAACGAATTGCAGATCGAAAATGCACGCCTTCGTAAAAAGCTACTAGAGAAGCGCCGTGAAGAACTGTACGGATCAATCTGCCCAAGCATGGAAGGTGAGCAGATTCCACCGAAAGATGGTAGTGATGACGAAGTAGAACCAACTCCGTTACAGTTGACGAAAAACAAAATGAGGCGATCAACACGAGGGACGATCCGATATTCGTTGAGTGGGCAAATAGGTACGTCGAGTGAGGACACTGATGTTGAGAGCAGTGAGGGGAGCAGAGTAGAAAATAAAGCACGATTGAGGTGCACAAATGATACAACTGTGAGAGAATTTTTCCGTTCCTTGGCGATGCCCGACATTGAACCTTTCCATAACGAAAGTAGTCAAAAATTCGATGATTTTGTCAGGGCATTCAAGCTCAAATACCCGCGTAGGGCATACAGCGACAGAGATCGAAAGGAGATCCTGGTAGGATATCTAGGGGGCGAAGCCAAGTTGCATTATAGTACCTTGTCCAATGCTATCAAAAGTAGTTCCTTTAACACAGTCGTTCAAGAGCTAAGGAGCCGTATGCGGCTCGAAAGTCAGGAGTCACAGGCAGACGCTCTCAGGGCAATGCGACTGTTGAAAAAGAAGGAGCACCAAACAGTGGAACAGTTCTGTCTCGAGCTGGAACTTCTGTCGTCGAAGGCGCACCCGCACTGCGATGAAGCAGCTCTTGCGCTGATTCGGGCAGAAGTTTTGCACGAGCAGCTCCGTGATTGGCCGGAGGTGTACCACTTATCTGAAATCCTAGCTAACGAGGATACGCGCTACGTTTATGAACGCATGAAAGAGGCGGCACTACGCATCCAGCGTTTACGTAAGCAGCGATATGACTCTGGCGTGAGAAAATTGGACAACTATGAGAGGTGCGGAAGATCTAAGCAGTTCACAGCGAACAGGTCGTTCACAACCCGTGATAAGAGTAAGGACAAAGAATCCAATGAGATTCAAAAGGTCAAAACTCGAAAAGAGCAGCAGAAGATTGGTGAACGACCACCTTCCTCAACAAGCTGCACAAATTGCGGCAAAAAGGGCCACAAAACAGAGGAATGCTGGTCTAAAAAGAAGAATAAAGAGGCCAACACTTCTTTCAGCGCTACTCTTAAAGGCTGGTCCTGCAATATAAGTACGACGGACACTAGGACGAGTAGCCTGGTGGGCCCAAAGCACATGGTTAAGCTGCAGTGCCTAGGTTTGGAAATCCCTGCCATGATCGATACGGGATCGCAGCTAACCATCATGCCACTCAGTTTCCTTCTCAAGGCGAAAGACGCCGGCGTAGACATGGACGCTCTCTGTAAGAAGGTACAGGCAGAAGAACTTGAAGTCTACGATGCATCGGGAAATCGGATGGATTTCCTAGGGTGCATGGAGACAAAGCTGAAGCTAATAGGAGGAAGGGAATGCAGCGTGCAGATGCACGTCAAACGATTAAGGGATGAGGCTGTTTTACTCGGAACAAATGCTTTAGAAGCATTGGGTGTGAAAATCCTCATCTACTCAAAACCTGAACAACAGTTTCAGCCTCAAAAGATGGCAAAAAGGACGCAGGAGCAAAGCCGCTCTAAGCGGAAAAGAATTGCTCCACAAAAAGCGGCCATGGCTGTCGTGGCTGAAAGAACATATGTGAAACCAGGGAACTGCAGCCTTATACAAGTGCGATGCGAGCACCAAATAGGAGATGCAGTGTTATGGTCTCACAATAATTTGATCGAGAGCGGAGTGTGTTCAATATCCGAAAAAGGAGTGGCTGAGGTTCCAGTCCTGAACAACTCCGAAGAGCCACTAATTTTCAAAGAAGGGGAAACCATAGGCGAATGGTCGCAACACGAGTGGATGGACCCACGGCTCGTAGATGCAAAATCTGACATGCTAGAAATGTCGAAGCATAGCACTACTGAGTCAAGGATGGCAACGCTTTTAACCCATCTGAGCACAAACAGAAGTACGGGGAATCTACCCCAACGATTGAAAGCATTAATCCAAGAGTTTGCAGATGTGTTCGCAGTAAATGATCAGGAGCTTACCCAAACAGATCTGGTGCAACACGATATTGATACTGGGGACACGAAGCCGATAAAGCAGAAAGTCCGACCAGTACCACGAGGTGTCCAGCCCGAGTTCAAAGCTATACTGAATGACTTGGAGGCTAGAGGCATCATCGCAAAGTCAGCATCAGATTGGGCCTCTCCAGTTGTCCTTGTGCAAAAGAAGGACAAAACGCTGAGACTTTGTATCGACTACCGCGTTCTCAATAAATATACACGGCAAGACTCCTATCCGTTGCCAACGATTGATACAGTACTACAAAGCCTGACCGGCAAAAAGTACTTTAGTACTCTCGATATGGCATCCGGGTATTGGCAAGTGAAGCTCAGCAAAGACGCACAAAGAAAAAGCGCCTTCACGACGCCAGAAGGACTCTTTGAGTTCAAAGTACTACCTTTCGGATTGTGCACATCACCAGGGTATTCCAAAGACTAATGGATATGGTTTTACATGAGCTAAAAGGTGATGAAGTTTTCGTATACATCGACGATATATTAGTGGCAACCGAAAACGAGGAAAGGCATCTAGAAGTGCTTAGGAAAGTATTCCTCGCTTTCCGGAAAGCCAACCTGAAACTGAAATCCAAGAAATGTACCTTGCTAGAAAACAAAGTGGCATATTTAGGGGCATGTCTTGGATGGAACAGGTGTGAAAACGGATCCTGATAAAGTCGAAAAGGTTAAAAATTACCCACGGCCCACTAATGTTGCGGAACTGCGCACGTTCCTAGGCATGTGTGGTTATTATCGAAAATTTGTCCTAAACTTTTCAAAGATTGCAAAGAGTCTCTTCGAGCTCACGAGCTCTCGTATGCTGTTCAATTGGCACACTGAGCACGACAAAGCGTTCGAAATTTGAAATGACATAAGCACCAGCTTGCTAGGGGACAACGATATAGAGGCGGTTCGATCGAGCGGAATGACGTAATTAATATTATCCGACGCGGGTACTCACGACGTGGCTGCGCTGTTCTTTGCAGGAGGACAGGTGCGACAAGATGGTCCACCCACTATATTTCGCATCAAAACGATTGTCCAAGGCGGAAGAGCGATATCACGTGACGGACCTCGAAGCGTTAGCCATAGTCTTCGCATTGAAGAAGTTCCATTTCTTCGTATTCGGGGCAAAGACCATAGTACGACTGACCACTCAACCATCAACCGCTCACAACCCTATTCAAACGGTCCAATGTATCACCGAGAGTGTTACGGTGGGCGCTTGAAGTGCAGTCGTATCAACTCGAGATAGAATATGTAAAAGGCGAAGCTAACCGAGTTGCCGACGCCTTATCAAGAGGAATAGCCAAAAGCGTGACCGCGCAACAAGACAACGTTGAGCTTGTAAAGATTCGTAAACTCTGTGGAAATTCAGAAAAGCTGGTTTGAGGAACTCCAGCAAGATCTGACTATGGAGACGTGATAACAAAAGTCCAAGAAGGCAGAGATCTCGAGGAAGTGAGGTTACCAAGGCAAGAAAAACCTTTCCGCATAGCTGACTTTTGTGTTGACCAGAATCAGCTATACTTAGCCCTTGAAGATGGTTCAATGGCAAAAGTTGTGCCAAAATCACGAAGACGTGCTGTCTTCGAAGAAGCACACGCAGGTGTCTGGAAGGCACTTAAGGCCGCAAGATTTCAGGAGCCAGTAAAAGAAGTTTGGGAGGAATTTGCGTTTCAAGACTCCTTTTGTGGTGCAAGCAGTGCCGTGACTGTTTCCTGACGAACAACAAGAAAGACTGTGTTCCCCCGCTAAAGCCAACTGAAAGTGTCAAAACCGTTTGAAGTAATTGGAGTAGACGTGTTGGAGATAGGATTATCTTCGAGCGGAAACAAATATCTAGTGGTGGTAATAGACCATTTCTCGAAATGGTTAGCGGCATACCCAACCCCTAATAAAACAGCGGAGGAAATAGCTAGACTAATATTCAGCAGATGGATCTGCGAAGGGGGAAGGTGGCCCAAATTATCTATCAGTCAGGCAGAGAGATTGCAAAAAGGTGCATGATCGCTTTGTCAGTTGCAGGTATAACCAAGTATTCCCAAGGGAGCTATAACGCCGGGGAAACGGCACCGCGTTCAGAAAAGGGCCAACAACATCTGTGAGAATTGCCTAAGAAAGAGGCGGCATGATCAGAAGATGCAAGATAGTGACCACCTCAAGTTCTTTATGATTATGTGAGCCACTTACTGCCGGGGAAAGTCCATTTTTCTCTGCGATGGTTTGACCCGTGGGACCCATGTCCAGAATACCTTCACGCGAAGGTTCTCACTGTACCGAAGATTTAGATATGGCGATGACTATCGATCCGAACGTCATGACAGGAATGAAGTTGACGGAGATCTCATAAGAGAAAATGCTGAGATTTACAGGAGTAAAATGAAGGAGTACTATGATAAAAGGCAAAAGGTCAACCCTGAGAAGCTCCCCAAAGTAGGACAGCGAGTGTTTTTGAAAATGCCCGCTGAAAAAGGCAAATCAAAGCAACCAAAACTGACATGATTGGGTCTTATCGCGTCTAGCAGCAGCAGATTCTGCATATGATCACGGAGAGATAGATGGGACTCCTCGATCAAAGCGGGACTCACACTGATTGCTCGTGAGATCCCGTTTACATCCAATTGATGAGCCTGTTAAAACAAGAGCAAAGAGAAAGACCAAGAGAGAGCGAAAAAGCTAGTAGTAGTGCATAGTGTCACCACAAATGATAACTGTTCTTTCAGGAAGTACCCAAAACCAACTCATAATGACGGATGACACTTCACACCCACTACATGTCCTGTTCATGTGTAACGAAAAGGCCCGCGCCAAACCGCCAGGCGATTTCAATGGCTACCGCCTCGAAGTGCCGTGTCCATTGATGACGGACGGAGCAACGCGTTTGGATCGCGTACTTAAAGGCCTACCGGCCTAATATGCAAGGCATCAGGTTTGCAAATGTGTGATAGACTAGCTCGCTGATAAAGGTTCTGGCTGAAAGGCGATATGTCGGGGAGATGAGGCTCGTCCAGTTGGCCAAAAAAGAACAATGCGATTTCGCAGAAGCGTAGCGTAGCTCTGGCTGTTTTATCGCGGAATTGTTTCATTTTCATGTACGGTTTTGAGAAAAGTTGGAACCATCGGATATATACCATGAGCATGTTCGTATGGGTTCATCGAGCAAAAGAATCAGCTCAACATTCCAACGTGCCATGAATCTCATTCGCGAAAGGAACTGGGAAGGGTCCTTGGGAGAAACCCAGACGTTTGCAAACGATTTTCGTGCCTAAAAGTCTAGAGAATATCCTAAAATGGTTGCCTGTGGATATAAAAGGCGTGGTTTACGGTAAAAACTCCATGCCACCTCCGGATGACAAAAGTGATGTATTAGTGGTGGTCGGAAAAGAATTCTCGGACAGAGACACTGCACTATACCTGCTACGACCATGGTTGGAAAGAATAAGATCTCTGGGGACGTAAGCCTCTGCAAATGGGGCATGGTCACCGCCGAGCAAAACACGGGGACGTTCGAATCTCCGTTATAGTGGGTCGGCAGACGGCAGGATGTGGGGGGGTTTCAAAAGGCTTCTCGCTCCGTAGTCAATCCTTTTGAGGTCAAATGGTTTTGGATACGATGCTCGCTGAAGAATGGGATACATAGATGTTGGTAGTGACAGACGCAACCGATATGGTCGGGCGTTTCAAAGCACGCATTTTCTATGAAAAAGTGCGTAAATATTGGGTGGCCTTCGTGGCCAGAACCCCAACTCGAAGCAGAAGATAAAAAGAGCAGCCGAAAAAGGAGCGTTAACGACTCAGAAAAACAAGTATACGGTGGAATGAGGCCGAAACGAGGACGTTTCGTGAGACATCCCGATCATCACTACGAAACACGTGAGTTCTTATTGTAATGCGAGTGAAGGGACCACTCGCTAGATAGCCCGGGGGTTGTATATGATAAAGAACGCCGCTATCATTGAGGATCTTACCAGCGATTACTGTAGCGGCGCTCGCAGCTATCTCTATGTCTTATGTATTCTATTAGTTTTCTTTATCTGAATGTTGCAGCAGAGCCCTTGGAAGTAGTACGGTCCTCAGTTCCCGGCTGATTGACGACCCGCGAATGTCGCCGCAAGTACTGTCGAAGATCGACACTACCGCCGACCCGTACGCTGGATCCTACCTCAACAGGCCAAGGTGAAATCTACTGCTCCATAGTGATATCTCAGTTGTTTTCAGGTGTTCTTTGTATTGTAAAAGTTTCTTGTTTTCTTTGTGTTGTCTGATTTTGGATAAATCTTGTTTGAGGTACTTGTAGCTGATCATCTTAGGAAAATCGAACCGCACTAGCAAATCGCGAACACTACTCATCATTTTCTTGTTCTCAAAAAGATTCACGCTCCGTTCATTTAACCATAATTTTGGTTTTTTAAAGTTTTGCCTTCTTTGTCAACGCTCACCTGTTGCACAATGATAGAATATCTTCGATACCGTAAGAGTTTTAGCTTATTAAAATAGGAAACCATTGTGGGGCATATTGGAAGTCTCTATCATTTTTTGTTTAATGCGCTGTTGTTGAGATGTTCCACGGTCGTTGTTGAGGGGTGGATTTTGTATTTAATAATATTTTACCAATTTGGCATCGCTAGCTACTGCGCGCATGTCAAAGTAGGCTCTAACAGAGCTAGCCGGGCCTTGAGTTGAACAAACGCATGCATTTAATGCATTTTACTTGTGTTATGAATGAGGAGTTTTTATTGTTCTGGTAGAAGCTGTAATTTCTCATAGGTGACACAAATAAATCATTTTCCAGAAAGTTATACGACCTAGCGGCAGATTCAGCTTGGAGAATAAAATGAGCAATACAACTTTTTTGGTTACTCGCTGTCAGCCCATAGCTTGAATAAATCCCATGCCTCGGATATTGTATGTTCCAGCGGTTAGACAATTTCTTATGCCGGTGATGTTGGAATGGGAACACCACTGATTATCGTATTTCCGCTAACATCGAGCATTTTAAGGAGCTCGGGCAAATTAGCGGTCGAAAGGATGCTGACGACGACATCGCGAATAGAATGTGTTTTCCTTATCGCGCGCTCGCGCTCAGTGACTTCTCCGTTTCGAGCTGGTCGCTCTTATCAGTCCTCATCAGCTGTTATCTCGCTTTGTCACCCACCAAATGTGTTCCCGTCCCATTCCCTACATTATATCTTGAAAGACAGCTCCTGACGTGCTGCTGGGCCGCGAGCTATGAATTTCGCGACACTTGCGTTCTAGCGCCTTTTATCAGCCCTTATCAGTTGTTATCACTTTCTGTACCCCACCAAATATGTTCCCGTCCACCCCCTATATCATATCTTGAAATCAACTCCTGACGACCACTGGTGCCCGCGCTATGAATTTCCGGCTAGGTACATTATACACACATCCGAGAGTTGGGACAGGGTCAACCGTCCGTTCGAACTGTTCGAACGAAGGGGTCGCATTTTGGTCGGAAGGGGGTCGCAATTTCGAGGACTGCCAGCCACAGGCGCGTGCGTGGCGTATCCGAGGGCAAGAATTGTTTGTGCAGACCGATTCGATTATTATGCACAGAGAGACAGTTTTAGGCAAATTACGGTGTTTTCCTTGAGGAATAAAGAACAGTTGAATGCATCCCTATGAAAGGTTTGACTTCTCGGGGCTGAAATTAAAGTTCTTCGGGACCTAATTTTCTGAGGACGATTCTTCCAGACAACGGTAAAACATATAAGAAAGCAGAAATCTCGTAGTCTTCAAAAATGTCTTCGCCCCTCCCCAACAAGTTCTTTGAAGGAAGTTATTATTGCTGAAAGCTCAAAAACTCGCATGTGCTGCTCAAAAACCTATGGGAACAAAATGTTCGAACGTGTGATTTTCTCGGAAAATGAATTTTGAAAAACGGTTTGGTGCTTGTTAGAAAGAGCAAATCCTGTACTTTCACCCCATGAAAAAAGTGCATCACAGAAATGAAAATGAAGTGAGTTATGCCCGCTTAAAGCCCAAAAACTCGCGATTTCAAAAAAAGTGTTCGGCAAAACCCCCCAAAATGTTCGAACGTGTGATTTTCTCGAAAAATGAACTTTGAAAAACGGTTTGGGCTTGTTAGAAAGAGCAAATCCTGTACTTTCACCCCATGAAAAAAGTGCATCACAGAAATGAAAATGAAGTGAGTTATGGTCGCTGAAAGCCCAAAAACTCGCTTTTGCACGAAAAATGTTCGAACGGGACAATTTTTTGAAAAAGGGGACAATCACTAAACTTTTATACTGTTTTGTTAGAGAAATATTTGAAGTTTCTGAAACTTTTTACAGATTTCCAAAATGTCGCATACGAAAGATTTTATGGGCCTTCAAAGTTGAAGGTGCGCCTTCTTAGAATTTTGGGTTTTCCACTTCTAACAGAAGTACTTTCCGGAGAGTTAGGCAATCCTTGTAGTTTTCTGAAAGCGCACCTCAGGCACAATCAAAATCTACCTCAACAAGTCAAAAAAATACGTCCCAAGAAAGTTATTCCCCTCTAAAATTTTTTCTTCGCCGCGTCCCGTTCTTCCAGCGCCCGGGTGATACCTGCCGCGCTCCAAGGCCGACGCGACGACGCGCAGACGCTTTCTGGCGCAACGGATTCATGTCTAGCACTCTTATTAACAAAAACAGGGGGTCGCAACTGGACCCCCTCGAGAGCTAGGGGGTCGCAAAAATCCCGAAAATGTTCGAACGTGACGGTTGACCCTGGGCAGGGATAGCCGAGTGGTTAAGAGGTTAGACTCATGTCTGCACCTCTGAAAAACCGCGAGTTCGATCCCTGCCGAGGCTCTAAACCATGCCTTGCAAAAATTGCAAAAATGGTTCTAGTACCAGCGTCAGGCCCAGGTTGACAGGCCGGCTGATGAAGACCCCAGTCACACCAAACATGTCTAAAGTCGAAAAAGAATCAGTGATAAAGCTAGGACGTCACCCGGAAGTGGCGCGCAGAACCCCCGCCCGAGTTCTGTGGTCAGTATGCGAGGGCTACCGAGGAGTGAACGGCCTCGGCCAAAGAAGCTAGTTCGAATTGGGACTCTGAACGTAGGATCGCTAACTGGGAAGTCCCGAGAGGTTGCTGATCTGATGACGCGCAGGAATATCCAAGTCCTATGCCTTCAGGAGACGCGATGGAAAGGTGCTAAGGCCAGGGAAATCGGGGAAGGTGTCAAGCTCTACTACAATGGAGAAGACACCAAGCGGAACGGTGTGGCCATAGCGGTAGCGGAGTCGCTCAAGGACTATGTCTCCGCTGTGAACAGGATCAGCGATCGGATCATGGCTGTGAGGATAGACACGAAGGAGGGGTACTGGACAATACTCTCCGTGTACGCACCGCAAGCCGGGTGCCCCGAAAGTGATAAGGACGAGTTCTATCTGAGCCTGGACGAAGCCATAAGATCGGTTCCGGAAGGTGATTACCTGACCATAGCAGGTGATCTGAATGGTCACGTCGGCAGTGACAGAAGAGGCCTAGAAAGG